CCAGAGATGGAGGCAGAGACAATGACGTGGAGAGTGGGAATGGCTGGTGACTCGACCCAGAGAGGGAGAGGGGCTGTGTGCTGATGACCTGGGGAACACTTACAGGGTATATCCTTTGGTTGATTGATGATGCATGGAGGGGATTGTAACCATGGCAATGAAACGATATATGATAGGATGAATGTAAAGCTAATATTCTCCCATGTAAGCTATCACAATAAAAAATTTTAAAACAAAAGTAATATTAGCATATACTGAATCATCTTGATAATCATATTAACCTGGTACTGCCACAAGATGCATTAGTCTTTGAGCTTGAGAAAGATTTAAAAAAATAAAAAAGGGAAACTAAAATATAAATGATGTGTCTGTTAACTGATGATGCATGGAGGGGATTATAATCAGTGTAATTAAATAAAGTATATGATTTATTGAATGTAAAACTGATGTTCTGCCCTGTAAACTTTCACACAATAAAAACTTTTTTTTTTTAATGTAAATGATGTGCCTATGGTCTTAAAAGCTTGCAAGTGGTCATCTAAGACACAATTGGTCCCTGTTCACCTGGAGTAAGAGAGAAAGAAGGAACATCAGGAATAGGAGGAGATGGAGTATATGACTAACAGCCTTCATAAACACATGAACTGGATGGTACCCAGTTACTATTACTGAACATTTTGATCAAAGATTCCATAGCAAAATTGTGATCAAATGGAAGAAAATGCAGACCAGATCATCAAATTCTTATGGACTCCAGATTTTCTGGAGCTATGAAGACTGGATGAACCCCTGAAACCATGATACTCTAAAGAACGATCTATGTGGGATTCAAAGATGACGAAGGAGGAATATCACTGCTGTCAGATGGATTTGGGCTGAAAGTAGGAAACACCAGTAAGATGTTTACCTGTGTGTGTGTGTGTGTGTGTTTTAATTTTTATTGTGAATTATATAGTGGTTTACATGGGAGAACAAGAGACCTATCCGCATTTCCTTTCATCAGCCCTGCCTAGACAGATTGGATACTACTCAGTGGAGATTCTATCTTCCTCCACTATCTGTGTGTTTTTTTGACTAGGCAAAGGCACTTGACTATATGGATCATAACAAATTATGGATAATGTTGCAAAAAAATGGGAATTCTAAAATACTTAAACGTGCTCATGCAAAACCTGTACATAGTCCATGAAGATGTCATTCAAACAGACTAAGAGGATACTATGTGGTTTAAAATCAGGAAAGGTGTATGTCAGGATTTTTTTTAATGTTTTATTATGAATTATGTGATAGTTTACATGGGAGAACATTGGTTTTACATTCATTCTATC